GGCTCTGTGTGCGCACGTGCAATGGCCTGCCCGGTGATGGAACCTGTCCTCTTCTTCCTCTGGCATGTCCAAAGTGCCACACTGCCCCGTCTGAAAATAACTCTCTGAACTTCCTCACACGACCCATTAAGACAAAGAAGTGTGATCCATCTTTGAGACCATTGTCATTGCATGACTCTGTTAGACCCGACTCTCTGTCTTGACGCCAAATGGCCTGCATCTCTTCCAGCTGAGCTTCCTGAGGGGTGCCTCTGACATCCTGGCTAGACGTCTTAGTTGATGGATCCCTCCAGCTTTTGAAAGAATATAGAGGGATCCAAACAGAAGAACCATTCCGCATAGCGGTCACCATGAGTGGGCGGGGAGATCAGATGAATAATTCGCTGTGTTTGGTGGAGATCTGAATCCCTGACCGGGCTTCTTGGTACCGATGCAGCAATTCCTCAACGAATAGTTGAACGTGCTGTATATGCCCAGCGTTCTTGACATGGATGCCAGCTCATTTTGCGCGGCTTTTGAAGGAGGGTTATATGCCAATCAAAATAACCTCGAAGCATTCCAAAATTGCAGTGATTCGGCAGCCGAGTAGTGCATCTACAAGGCATCTGCAACCTAGCTGAAAGCTCAGAGGGCCGCATGCTGCCAAGAACTTTGCACTACTTGTAGCTCTTCACCTTACCCAAGTACAGCCTACGGGCAGCGAGTACTTCATCAAGCTAGCCGCCTGAAAAAAGGTGTGTACCCCAAAGACCTCTGAGCCCTGACTAGAAAATCACAAAATGATCTCCTTGACAGCTTCATACAAGCTCTACGTGTGATCCCGGCCTCCCTCACGGTGGCCCAGACATTTTGGGCGGACATTGAATTTTGAGTTGTTGTGAGTGACTTACCCCTCCACAACATGATGTGCTTAGTCCTTCCGGCGCTCTGCTAGGAAGTTAATGACCTCGTGCACTTTCTTGTTGGCTGCCTGTCGCGCATTATGCTCTTGGGATGGATCAGGGCGGGAGCTGCGCTGCAGGGTGCACGGGCTGGGGGTTGCAGGCTGAATGGAGTCTGGGAGTTTCAGGTCTGATGCTTCAGGGGGAGTACTCATGGTGAAGCTACACGTCAAAGCGCTCCAAAGAAAGCCTCCTCAGTGCCCCTTCTTGTGAGAGCAGGGCCTTTTCCAGTCCGGCCAGTGTCTTGCAGATATCGGTCGCAGATTCAGCAGTGATGGTGCTGAGGTCCTGCTTGCAACGCTACATGCAGAGCGAAGGCAAATCAGGATTGCAATCCTTAACTTGGGGTAAGGTTGCCAGGTGCACCGATTATGAAAAACACCCACATTGAGGCTGCAATCCAAGTGAAAGCAAAGGGCGCCCCTTGCAGTTGCCCCGCGAATTCGCACAAGGCACGTTTGCCCATGCTAGCTATGGCCCCAACATTCCTCATGAACATTGAAGATTATGCTTACGGATTGCTGTGACACTGTGGCAAGATGACTTCCCCACAAACATGTGTGATAGTTTCGAGGGCGATGAGGCCTCTTCTGCAGAGCCTACATGCCGTGCAAGAAGTCAAGCAATGTCTGCAGATGATTCTGCAAAATACTATCTGAAGACAGAAGCACTTTCAACCAAAGCATGCAGAACTCCATGACTCCAGACCAAATGCCAGCCCGCCAATAGTGTCAAGGAATTCGGCTGTTGCAGGGGGCACAGCAATCCAGGTAAACACATGCTCTTCATCAGCACGGGAGTGTGGTAGATGACCAAGCGCAGCACTAGCAAGTATTAAGCTTGCGCAGTAGTAGCAGTAGTGGTATAGTAGCAGCAACAGCGATTCGAGCAGCAGTACCAGCACCAGGATTGGCAGCAGCGGCAGGAGGAACAGCTCAGGCAGACTCTTCAGTAGTGCAGAAGTAGCTGCAGCAACAACCATCGCATTTCGAGCCACTGGCAGTGTCAGTTGCCGTAGCCGCCGCATTCGTCGTCGTAATTGTAGTAGTACGTAGCACACGGTGGAGCGGCGGCAACAGCGACCGCCGCCGCCGCCGCTGCAGCAGCAGCAGCAGAATCAGGAGCTGTGGCCTAGCAGCAACACAACGAAAAGTGGGAACTGGAAAACAGAACAGCAGTCATCGAACCACAAAGGCTTGGACAACTTGCTTGTCTCTCCTCGGCTGCCAGCGGTGCTGCTGCCTGTAGCTTAGGTTCGGGCGGGACATTCTGAGGCCGTAGAGGTACGAAGCTGTAGTGCAGATATGTTTATTCTATGCTTGAGGAGCCCTCACCTTGAAGCCCCGACACAAGGGCAGAGCCACCTTGTGCGAACCGCATCCGGAACGCAATCTCATGAAACTCATTGGGCTTCGGCTTTCGGATTTTAGGCCTTGGGGTTGAGCTTGGCGCAGGTAGTACTTCTTCGAAGATTAGGTTAAGACTTCGCTACGAAGAATTGCTTGAAGGGTCCAATGTCAGCTGAAGAAGGAGGCGATGTTGGTCTCATACATGCAGCGCCCTGTACTTGACCCGCTTGATTCTGATCCCGAGGAAGCTACTTTCATCTTAACAAAGGATCCTCTGACGAAGATGTGCGCTGGGGGCACAGGGGCGGTGACTAGTAGATCGACTGTTAGAAAACATTTTTTGAGACCCGTGCTTTAAACGCCTGTGATCTGGTGTGCGTAATGGGAGTGGACGTGCCAGTCTACCAAGCGTGTTGGCCACGCCTCACGGGCTTGGTCCACCTCTTCCTCGGCAGTCTTCAGGATCTCAGCGGCCTGTGAAAATTGTGAGGAAACTGTTTCTTTGTCCTGGCAACCTCTAGGACATCTGTAGAAGCCTTGATAGGAACTGATACGTACATATTATCTGTGCATGTCCTGGACAGGATGCTATCTCTATGGTTTTGGAATTCTGGTGGCTGTTTGAGCACTTGTGGGTTTATGGCATCGCTGGCAAGGCACATGTGAGCTCACATGACCTTGCCTGGGGATGACAAATCCTCACTTCTGATCTAGGAAGGGCGGCCTACAGGGAGCATCTCCTGGAGCAGCTTTTGGGAAGGTCAACTTGAGCTGGCCATATGCCTCCACTTGAAAGCCCACAGATCCAGCAAAACTCCTTCCCCGTTCTCATTTTTCAGGCTTTTAACAGCAGCATCCCCCCTCTACGCAAGTCAAAGGTGAGGTTCAAGCCCGGGCATTCAACCCCTGGCGGCTGAGCCAAGAAAGATCATACTTTTCCTCGAAAGATGCTATAAAAAAGACACAAAAAAACTAAAATATGATCTTACTCTATATTTCCGCAAACAAACTCCGACCGGCGCAGACTCTGAACTTCGCTGCCGCAGAGAATGGCGCGCCTCCTGCATCTGCGAGGTCCGCTTGTGAGCTTCAGTATCTTTGCCTCAGGTGGGCATTTGCCAAACGTAGGGTATCCTTGTATGTACTCCTATATTTGCTAGAATGCTTACCATATATTGTAGAGACTCCCCAAAAAGGAAGCGCTAAGTAAGTTCCTGGCGGACCCACTCTCAACCTAAGAGTTCCTCAAAAACTTCTCTGCGACAGGATTCCCAAGGCCCCCGTTTTGAGAAACCCTCGATTCTGAACTCTAAACCCTAACGCCCAACCCTAGAACTACATATCCCTGTGAACTTTCAAGCCCCCCTAGATCTCTTTATCTAAGGCCAGCACGGAACGCCCCCAGCTTTGCGTGGGCAGCCTTAACATAAAGGAGAAAATCATTGGCAGGTTGGCCCAACTAAAGGGTTCATAGAGGCTCTGTGAATCGGGTTGCTGTTTCATTGAGTATAGGCGGGTACCTACAACCCTGCTTCTCCACAAACCTCAAATTTGCGTGGAGTTTGTATGAATTTCTGGTCCAAAGAAAGGGACCATGAACTTCTAGAATCGCCCTCATGTAGTTTCCATTTTCTTGTTCCTTATCCCAATATAATCCCTATATAACCCCAATATATCCCTGTATAGCCCCTATATAACCCCTAGATAACCCCAACATACTTATAGTAGTTTCCATGTTCTGTTCCATGATATTATGTAGGCCTTATATAATGCCTATATGAAGCCGCTTAAATCTGTGAGAACAGCAGATCTTAGCAGCCCACATTGTTGCGCTCGACGAGTCCTTGCAGCCTTTCCAGAGTGGGTTTGGCTGCCACCTGGCAAACAGGTTTAGGGTTCAGGGTTTGGCTGACCCCCGCGGCAATATGGTATTGGGGTTCAGGGGCATAATATAGGGGAATATAGGGATTATGTAAGGACAATGGACAATAAAATGGAAATTACTAATTAGGGGGTTATATTGGGATAACGGCAAAGAAATGGAAACTAGTATAGTATATTGGGGATATATTGGGATATTGGAAAAGAAGATGGAACTACTACATCATATTGAGTCGAGGTCGGAGCCTATTTTTTGGGGTCTGCTGCCATCCTAGATTGAATTCCCTTTTGGTTTTGGGGTCCGGTCCTTTTCTTTTGCCGAGCATGATCCTAAAAAAGTTAGACATTCGAGGGCTAGCGCGGATGGTATTGCATTTTGGGGTGTATGGTTCATGCTTCGCGCTTAGCTGTGCAGCACACGCTGTTCGGAGAGGTAGCCTCCAAGCAGCACATGACTCCGTAGATTGGACTTCAAACAAACAGCCTGAAACAAGGGCAGTTGGGGACGATTGATTATCTTTGTAGACCAGTGGGGTGAGGTCATTTCAACATGCCTAGACCCAATGCTGCATAGAGAGTCCGGTCCGAGACTCTGCCTCTGCAAACTTGTGCACATCCTGCACCCGCGCCGATAGCACGCCCTTCGCCTTGTCAAAGGCCTCCCCAGCTTGAGATGTGCAAGGGACCTAACAACAGATAAGCTGGGCGATGATCAATCTAGATACGCTTGTGCGTTGAATTTGGTGAATACGAAGGATGCTCCGACGGTTTCACCCTCCAGTGGCCCAGGGCAAACCGTGAACTTCCGTTTGAGGCAACCGCAAGCTTCTCAGTCGGCACGGGAGACAGCATAAGCAGGAAGCATAAGCAGGAGCCCAAGCAGCAGCGACGAAAGGAGGGGAAGCAGGAGGGGGACAGGGAGGAGGAGGAGGAGGAGGAGTAAGTGAATGCTGTAAGAATCCTCGCAGTAGTGTCGACGTGGCATCTGCCAGGCCTCCTGCACCTGCTTTGCGGCTGACTCGCAGTCGGCGATAGCAGTTGCGGCCTCCTTGAGGGGAAGAACCTGCAGGTGACTAGTATGACTTGTACTGTTGACGTCTTACCATGTTAAGTAAAGTAATATTCTTCCTTGGGGATTGTGACTCTTGCTCTTGGGCTTCTTTGTTGATTTTGCTTGCTGTTTGTATTCTGATTGTCAATGATGACTAGCATAACAACAAGGCAGAGCCTATGATGACTATCATCAAGACTGGCAGTCTGATTGAACGCACAGTGATCATGGAAGCCAGTCTTCCTCCAACATTAGGCTCCCCAATGGGAAGTGGAACGCATCCCTCCCTATTCCTTTGGAGTGATGTCTACACGGTGATGTTCAGGGTTTAGTGTCTTAGCTCAGTATGGGCTGTGATCCTGAAATTATGTGCTTTTGTCCTTCTCCTTTTGGCTTGATACTGAAGTAAGAAATCACCTCCTTAACGTACGAATCTAAATCGGAAGTCTATCGGAAACATGAAATTCCTCGAGATGCGCCAGGGGTACGGCAAAAAGCCTAGATCGGAAGCAGAGCGGCTAGGGCGATGGGCTTAAATGAATTAGGTTTTCCGCCATTGAGGGAAACAATGCTCCTGCCACAAGAATATGTTGCTCCCTAAGCCCTGCACCCTAAATCCTGAATCTCGGACCCGCACTACACACCCCAAATATGGAGCCCCACACCCAAACCCTGAACCCTAAACCCCAAACCCTCACATCCTAAACCTCAACACACTAGAATGTAATCCCATGAAGCATGTACGCCAATACTATATAACCCTAGAAATCCCTCAGAGGGAACCTACATAGACCCTACAAAGGCCTAAAGTCTAAAGCTTCTGTACCGCTACTACTAGACCCGGCCTCGATACCTTTGAGGAACGGAAGCTCAGCCTGACATCGGACTACACGTTGACATTTACCTGGACCTCAAAAGCAATTGCCCAAGATGCAGGAAAAATTGTTGAACATACCGCTGCTCTACATACTTTCGGTCCAGGTAGTTGCTTCAACATTCTTTCTCCAACCGCAGGCAGCAATTCAAAGCCCATGAATTCAGAGAGCACATTTGTGGTTTAGAGATTGTGAACATGACTCCCTGTCCAGGTCCTGCACAATGACTACGTCTCTCTTTCTTCAACTGTCCCCACCATCACCACTACAACCACAATAATGAAACTCCAAGAATCAGCGCCAATGCCTACCTTGAGGTCTGTTGACTGGGAACCCTTGCACGAATTCTCAGGAGCAAATAATATTACGAAAATTACGGGATGCTTGGGATTGATTCAAAAACTCTCCCAGCCTCTGCAATTTTCTGGAGTGCGGCCTCAACATCCTCCACCTTCTGCTCAGCCTCCTTCACGTAGGCCTCCGTGTCCAGTCTGTGGGAATAGGATGGAATTTGACCGGATTCTGGAACCAACCAGGGCCATGTTGGCCATGTCCCCGCGTTACTCAGACGCCCATGTTCTGAGAGAATACGTCGGAGTAAGAAACCAGTTGTCAAGCACTGGCGGTTCTCCAATTTGTGACACCTTTTGGGATATGCAAACCAGGAAAATAGCTTTTGAGAACCTCCATCCCGTAGCTAGGTCTTGTTGAGGGTCATCCCGTACTATCCTCATGAGAGGAGGTACTCATCCGCAGGTGTGCACATGTGCGCAAACCATTGTCATTGGGGCGTCAACACATAAAGAGGATGCTAGCTTTCTATACAGGGAGAACCTGATCCGTCATATGCGCGCATCTTGTGCAATAGTGATCAGCGACGTGGCGACTTTGGCCTCTGCATTGGCCTTTTCTCGCTGGGTCTTGGTGGCTTGTTTCACCTGGCAACGCAAGGATGTAGAATCACACAAACTCCAGTATTCAGGTCCCTAAACCCCAAACCCTACGGTAGTTCCGAGTTTCTTTTCCATTCTCCCTTTGCATCCCCAATATACTATAGCAGTTTCCATTCTCTTTTCCATTATCCCTATGTAACCCCAATATACTATAGTAGTTTCCATTTTCTTTTCCATTATCCCAATAAAACCCCAATACCCTCTTTTTGCCTAAACCCTAAACCCTGTACTAATTTTCATTTTCTTTTCCATTAGCCCTATATAACCCAAAAAACTATATACTCATAGCAAATTCCATTTTACTTTCCATTATCCCTATACAACCCCAATACCTTGCGAAAGCTTATAAAATGAAACCCTACACCCCAAATCCAAAACCCCAAACACTAAACTCTAAACCCTGAACCTTGTAGTAATTTCCATGTTCTTTTCCATTATCCTGACCCCAATACCTTGCAAAAGCTTGTGCAATGCAGCGCTTGGAGCTCCGAGCGGCTCAGCGATGGCCAAGGGTGGCTTGAGGCTCTGAGTCGGGCCATGTATGGGGGGGGGGCCTCAATGCTTGAGGTTAACCTACTGGGCACTAGTAGGGAATTAGTGAATATATTCTATTTGGATTTTGTAGGGAATAAAGGAATATGTTCTATAGGGAGTATATAGTGATTATATTCCCAATTCCCGCCTGTTAACCCCCAGTAAGTTAAGGGTAAAGAGTAAAGGCATTGTCCAATGACCACCACGGCCACCCTCGAAAGAATCCAAAAGCAGAAGCTGAATAGTACCCCCTACTACTAGTGAAAGATGTGCTCGTGTGGGGTGCCTGATTTTCATGCTGCCAGTTCCTCTTCACAGTTTTCATATTGATTTTGCTAATGGAGCACATGGCCTTCTCGATCTTCTGAGCAGCCTCTTTGAGTCGGTCCTTCATTTTGGTGAGGGACGCCTTCAAGCAGGCCATGGCGCCTGGTTCAGCAACTTTCTGGCTTGGAAATAACTGCAGTCATGCCGAGGAGCTTTCCAGGGGTACCTTTAAAGTTATATAGGGGTTATGTTATATAGGGGTTATATAGGGGTTATATAGGGGCTATATAGGGTTTAAGGTTAAGGAAGCCATGGCAGAGCTTTGCTTGAAAACCTTCCTTTCACTGGATGTGGGAGGGAGCTGCTAACATGTTGGATGCTGGGACTTCGCTACATGACCTAAACCATTGCGATGCCCTTTGCTTGGTAGAAGAACCAGTAGACCCAGGGCAGCTCAACGCCAGGTAGGGGCCTAAATTAATTCAACTTGACGAAACCTCAACCCTCAAACCTTTGCCGAAACCATCCGAACCTTTCATGTGGGCATCCAGCGAAACGCCGCCAGTAGTAACAGCCTGGGTTTGTCTACTGCAGGGTTGGATGATGATAATACAGCTCTACCTTCCTATCTATTCAGGCTTCTACAACCTATGCGTCCAGGGTGCTCAGGAATTTGGGGGGTTCAAGAGTTGGATGTAGGACAAGGGGTTTAGGGTTCAGGGGCTATTGCTTGCGATTAAGGGGCTGAGAAGTACAGCCTCAAGAGCCGAGGGTTGAGTTCAGAAAATGTCGGGCCCCTTGCAGAAAAATCATTGAGATCCCAAACTACCATTCAATTCTCCAGGAGGCTCAGACATGCATCTGCTGCTAATAGGTGTAAGAAAGGTTCTAAACATGCGAAAGGGACCGCTTGTGGCTGCATCTGGAAAGCTTTCCTGAGCACTGGCCTGGGACCGCAGCCCTGTAAAGTTCTACATCGTCTCAATCGAATCCCCAATGCCTTATGATGATTTCTCGAAATAGAGGATCATGTAGGTCCCATCCTTAGACCTGCAAAAAATCGGATTACCCAGAAAAGAGATAGGAGCATTGAATAAGAGGACCCCTCGTGTGTCTGGGCGCACTGGCAGCCTGAGCTTTTTTGAGGTGCTCATCGATCTTCTTGAGCTCCTACACAGGAACAGGACAAGGAGTCTGCCGGGGCTTCTGAAACCTGGAACTTCAGGGATTTTCGGGATATATAGAGATTACCGTGAGGTAAATGTAGAGTAATGTAGAGATCTGGATAGCTCAAGAAACTCCCACCATCTGAATAAGGAAGACATCACGAGATTGACGAGAACTGAATGCACGACTTTGCTCCTTTCTTAAAGGCAGACCCTCATCCCGCTCAAGCAGTTTGAGCATAAGATCAAAAAAACCCAAGCCCATACGAGCTATAGTCTAAACTCCTTAAGGGGTGTTCTATAGGATCTTATATAGGGGATTACTATAGGTGTTTTTAAAGTGGATACTAGGAGTATAGACTATTGCTCATATCCACTCAACTCCCATAACTCCTGAACCTGACCTCGCACCTCAATGGCCCCCCAACCCTTAGCTAACTCTCAAACTTCCCGCGATTCCCAAGCCCTGAACCCCCTGACCCACCATCCTCAGCTTTGGGCTCTTGCTCTGCAAGGGGAGCAGCCAGTTGCTCCATCTGCAACAGACAAGGAAGAACTTTTTGAGAAAAGATGAAAATTGGTGATATATTGCCAATAACTGCTATCAAAGGCATGGAAAGGAAGGAGTGTCAAGCAAACAAAAACAATGAATATCATCAGCGATTACGTCCAACATGTTGGCAGCTGCAGAAGCGGCAAGAAGCAACAAGGTAGCAACTGTAGAATATAGTAGAATGCAGTACTCCAAGGTAGCAGTGGTGAGTACGTCGTGGTCGCCGTCGCGGTCGTCGCCGTCTTCGTCGTCCCATTGCCATCGTCATCAGTTGCAACTGTCATGTCAGTGGGAGTGATGTTGTGACTGCGCCAGAAGAAGCAAAGGCCTGACGTTACATTCTTTGTGTTGGCTCCCTGACCGACAACATGGATTCCTCCATGGCGACTTCAATGACTAGGGCCAGGACTCCGCTGCAGCAGCAAGCAGAGGGCCAAGGTGCATCGAAACGCCGATTATATGATTGCGGTTTGACAGCGACAGCACAAACAGGAAAAGCTGTTTACTTATCCCTTCGCTTCCTTCCCATCAGAAACTTGGCAGTTGCAAGCAGTGATACTGGGCATAACAGAAGCAACCACTTGGACCGTTGCTGGGTGCCCACTATCAGCCGTAGCATTAGCACTGCAGGTGCCTCCCCGACCAATTCATCGATGGACTTCATCTTTGCGTCTTCGGTTTCGATGACCTTCCAAGCACACTCAGCCGCAGCAGTCTACAGCGAGAAGTTAGCAGGACTTCTCAAGTACAACACGAAGCTTAGACTTAGACTAAAGTACAACCACAAGGAAACCCCATCATTGGCCAAGAAAACTTCTGTATGTTATGACTCCATGCAAGCCGCAGAACAACAACCCCATCATGGCGCCTTCTTGCTCTTGATCATCGCCTCTCCGCCCTTTGCCAGCTGCCTGTTGTTCAGGTAGGCTTCTCAAAGCAAGCGTGGGTTGGGGTTTAGGGGTTTCGAGTTTAAGGTTCAGGGTCTGAGGGTTTTAGTTTACCATAAAAGCAATGAGACCCGTGGCAGCTAGCAAAACCCCAGAGTGGAGCCCCTTTCTCAAAAACATCCACAGGAACGATGTCCATCTACAAGACAAGTGCGCAAATTGTTCCGCTTGTTCCGAAATCTCTTGGGCCACCAAAGTCTGTAGGCTGCAAGCTGAAAGCCTTTCAAAGGAAGGCCTTGTTCATGTCATGAAGAGAAGAGAGTGGTTTGGGGAGATGCTCAGAGTAGCAAATTCCAATCGAGCCAAAGCTTCTGAAGCTTTTCTGGAGTAGACTATGCCCACATTTCTGATCATAATGACACCACTGACATTTCAGGATTGGACCTAGTTGACGAAGAGCCTTTGGAGGAATTAACCATGGGTACAACGATGTTAGGAGACTAGTCTTCCTTCTGCTTATGACCTTGTGAGGCAACACTGACTCATTACGGCGACCACCCAACAGGAACCGGCAGCAACAATTTTGCAAGTTCCTCGTGGAGTCCATTTCTGTTGGAAATCATGATCACAAATATCAGTGTCACGAAGACTCCCCGAAGAACCCCTGAATACTGCTATGTATCCGTCTTCCTGAGGCTTAGTAGGGAATAAGGGAATGGAATCCCTATAGTAGTTATATTCTCTGCTCCTAAGCCCCAGTAAGCCGTCGGCTCTCGGAAGGCATTGCTTTTTGAGATGTTCCAACAAGTCCTGCCTGATCTTCCGAAACAACTGTTCCGCCAAAATCCAAGACCCCTACGACACCCACAGCACACCTAGACCCCATCCAAGGTTCCACCTTAATTAAGCATTAACTAGGCTCAACTTTGCCCAAAAAACCTTAATTAAGCGGGGAACCTAAGGGGAGTAGCATAGAGGGGGGTATGATATATTATGATATCAACACCCCTGCAAGGAGCAAAGGCCTGCTCTTGACCATCTCCTGGTGGGCAGCTCCCAGCTTTGTCTGCAGCTTGGTGAGTTCAGACCTGAAATGTTTGGTTGCTGTTAAGAAACTTACATTCAGTGACAACAAAATCGGTATATAGCAAATGATAAGGTTTCCTTATTATGGTAACTTAGCTTTAGTTCCTTGACAGCAAGCCAGGGTTTTAGGGGCTTGTAGGGTTTTGGACTTAAGGCCTTAAGGCCTAGGCCCTCAGGGTGTTGGGTTTAGGCCTTGAGAGTTCAGGTCTTGGCCTTGGGGTCTTTTTGGGGTTGAGGGTTTGTATGAGCCCAAGGGTAGCACAATGGGATAAGCATCCGCCTTAGGTTTCCACATTAGAGAGCGCTGTGTATCCGTCTTCAGAGGCCCCAACCCTCCCTAGGTATCCTCGCAAAAAGTATAACAAATCCGGGCTATTACTGGGGCAATTTGAACCCTATATAACCCCATACAAGTGCTATATAGCAGGCAACCAGCATCCGAGCTTCGAGCAAAAGGGAGCTATCCTTGACCTGCTTCTGCTTTGTGTTGATGATCTCGCGGGCCGCGTTGTAGGCTCGGACGGCATCCTGCAGCCATGCCGCGGGCTGCATAAGCGAACTTCCCAGGATTTGGGCCATCCACTAAACCCTCAAGGATTCCTGAAGCCTAAAGCCTGGGTTCCAGTCCTCCTGAAACGTCTGGTCGGAACATCTCTTACACAAAAACGAGAAAACCACATTCTTCCCAAACGCTCTAGCCTCGACAAATGCTTTCCTGATCCCTTCGTGACTCCCTTTGATTCCCCCAGAAGATGTGCAGCTTGGCGGTGTACCTAAGCCGTGACGATGATCTTGGAAGGGTGACAGGTTCGCCATCGGGATGACATACACAGATGGGAATGTACAGCTTCCTTAAACCCGTGGCTCTTAACCCTAGACTCATCAAGGGCTCCTTCTCCGCAGCAACAGATTGGTCGATGGCATACTTCAGAGCATCAACAGTGACCTTTGCACGAGTATAATCTTTTTCAGGGCTTCCTGAACTGCGCTGGCAAGCGGCAAGCTTCCCTTCCAAGTGTGCTCAGAACTGCCGTTGGGCTTAACAAGGGGCAAGATTGAGAGTGGTTGAACTTCTTCAGGATCCGATTGCCCCAAAGACCACTATACACCGAAGCTCTTGTTCCTTAAGAGCCTTATAGCTTCAGGTTGAAGTGGAATCACACTATACTCTTGCAGTGTTGCCAACACAGCACTTCTCCCTTCTCTGGTCCAGGATGACTGATCCTGCGTGACGCACGTAAGACAAGGCCGAACACCCGCTTGAATGGAGAGTGGCCGCTACTCTGGATGGCATGTAGTGCTCTCAGTTTGCCCAATCGCGCACAGACTGATGCACAGGACTTAGGTTTCAGCCTCATCCAGGTTCTCTGCGTTCAGTACCTTGACAACCTGACCGTTACGAATCGGGTCTTGGCTTTTGTGCCCACAGGTTGAGGGTGTTGCACTCAGGTTTTGGAGTTTGAGGTTTGGGGATGGGGCTTTTGGCTTGATATGGCAGGGTCAGAATATATTTTGCCAGAATACATGGAAGTTCTTGGCATCGCTCTCTTTTGTAGCTCTGTGTCTACACTCAAGCACGAATTCACCTCAACTTGCCAAGTGCAAGCAAGTAATGGCAAATAAAACGGCGTTCCGTCCTTAATGATCAGTAGAGACAAAAGGAATCGCGCACAATGCCTTACACAAATCATTTCCATCGTGGTGCCTAAAGTATCCATGGGCCTATGGCCTATGGGAATTCCCAATGACAACCCCGGCTCTGCAATGCATCATTGGCCATTCATCACGAGGAAGTACCGGAAGGGTCGCAGGCTCAGTCCGGGCACAGGGCCCCGGTCGTTGAAATCACATCTTCTTATTCTTAACATGAACTCCTTGCAGCTAACAGCCTAAGCCTAAGATAAAACACATCTCCGATACGTGTGGGCCCCTCTCGCAGCAAAAAGTGATCAAGCAACTACCAACACATTCTGTACCACAAGCATCAAAGGAAAATGAGCGAAACCCGCATTCCTACTACAATCGCGGAATCTGCTGAGGTGTTCTGCACATTGTTGCGTCTCATACTCCTCCTCTTCCCCTACACCCTAAGCCCCCAGCCCTACATACACCCTCTTCCCCACCGAAATCACGCGCCTCAGCGAAGGTTTGGCACTGGCTCTCCGCTTCAGCCTGGTCAGGTGAAGGCAAGGCAGGGAGCAAATAGATGACGAGGTAATTGCTAGGTCATGTTGGGGGCCTTAGCAGTTCAGGCTTTTAGAGCGCGCTTTAGCGGCAATGGTGAGTGCCGTCCAAGAATCTGAATTCTGACATTGCCAGAGTTTCATGCATCCTTAGCAATACCAAATCCTGCAGTACACAAGAACCCAGCCCTCAACCCAACAGAGTGGGCTAGGGTGTAGGGTTTAAGGTTCAGGGTTTAGGGTTTAAGCCTAAGCAAAAACCTTAATGGTCCTCAAGTAACCACGAACAATGCTTATTATGGGAACCGCCGAAAAAAGTACTCCTGATTTCGGGAAACCCTCATATCCCTTTAAGGGATCTATTCTGATCCTTCAATAATAACATGATAGTACTAGCAACAATACCAGTTCCTATAAAGTAATTACAGCTGTTGTAACATTAGTGATCCCTAAATCCTAGGCCCGAAGCCCTAAACCCTAAACCCTAAACCGAAACCCTTAAACTCTGTTCTGATCATTTTGCATCCCTGTAAGCGAGGTCGGGTTGCCACGCGCTCCGTGACTTCTTGCAGCATAGCTTGGGCTTTGCGCTGCTGGGTCTCTTTCCTGGGAACAGGACTTGTGGGGATTTGGGGGTTTCCCAAAATTAGGGGTACCTTATGAGGGGTCCGCATAATCAGAATTATAGCACTTTGTGGTTTATAGTAAGGTCCCCTGATTTTGGGAAACTACCTTTTGGGGCTTTTGGAGACTCTGGGGGTTGGGGGGCTTTAGTTTCTTCCGAAGTACAAGACTTAGGGAGGCGCTTCCGGATGAAGCATGGTGGG